TTGGATTAATTAAATGCGTAACTAATTAAAATGATTAATTTCGCGTTAACCAATTAACGTGCTTTTATAAAATAATTATTAAAAATCGTAAAAGTGATTCAAACGCATAATTATAATTAAAATTAAACTACTTTAATAAAACATTTAAATGTATATTTTGATGGTTTTTGAATAATCATAAGATATACTACTTATATACATAATTACCTAGATATGTATATTACCTAAAACTTATGAAAAAAGATATTCGAAGTAACATAAAATTTATGTATTATATTATTATATTCGTAAAATTTTTAAAACTAATTAATAAAAATTATTTGGAAAATTTAGGAAGCTCGATAATTAATTTATACCCATGCAGGTCAAAATTAGGTGTCAACAACTGTCCCTCATTTTACTTGGGTTGATGCAAGCAACTCGAGGAAAATGAAATTTACCGAACCAATTTTGACCAACACCATTCATTTCTAAAGGAAGAATTCGATAAAGAGTTTAGTAATTATGGCCGAACCCTGCAAACTGGTTTCCTACATATCTCAGGCTATATGAGAATTCACGCCACTTGTAGTTCGATAAGATTGATTTACCGCACGATTTGAAGGAATCAAAAGCCACTTGGACACCGAATTATGAAGAAATCGAAATGCTCAGGAATAGAATTCGAGGGCGAATGTTGGAATACAGCTGATCTTCAACATTGAATTCGCCTACATATCCTTAAACTTTCAGAATCAGGCTGTGTGTAGTTCAACTCGAATGGTGGAAAAAGAAATCTATTATGCAAGATAACCTTTGATTTTTGATAAGCGACAAATTAACGAGTATGAAAAGGAGGCTTGTAACCTCTTGACCATGAATGTGGAGCTCTTCACATCTATAGGTAAGAACTCACACAATCATAATTTCCAAAGCTCTTGGCGCATTGTCACTCAGATTGGAAACTTGCTTCCGATAAATTAAAATTTCCGGACGCGAGACTGAAACTGACGGAACTAAAGAAAAACCCACAAGACTAGAGAGGGTGGTTCGATCGTGGTGGATGTTGCTCCTCTGCTCGCGTTATAAGAGTGTGATATTCCTCTTTGGACTGTGCCCCAATTCACTTCTAAGAAAAAGTTCCACGTTGTGCTGCATCCCTTTTGATGTCGTCCGCACCTGTGGTTTTTTTTGTTGAGAATTCATCCTTTTGGATGCTATCGACAAAGACTTAGATAAAACTCATCAGCTTAAAGAATGCAATTAGGATGGGAGACAGTGTCTTTTTACCATGTCGACACTTCATTGTTCTCCTCAATATTCAACGTCGAGTCGATCGGTCTGACATCTAGCAAAAAAGCTTATTCCTTGTGCTTTGTAAATAAAATCTTCAGTGTACTCTTCGTTTGATGCTAAAATAAATAAATAAATGTTGATGCGATATTGATGTCTCTTTTGTCGTTATCTTCGATGCTCTTCTTGATTGTTTCTTTTATAAAAATGAAGAATGCGGTTTAGGCCGATGGATAAATATTGCTCTTTCTTTGTCCGTATATGTCCTCTTGCGTAACATGAATATATTCCCGCGATACGTAAATTCCTGCAGGACATGAATCTTCTCGCGATGCATAACTTTCAGCGAGGAATAAAATCTACTCGCGATGTGCAAATTTTGACGAGGCATGAATTCTTCTCGTCTTGCATAATTGTTGACTCGCAAAGCATGACTTTCCCGCGATGCATGATTTTCAACGAGGCATAGATACTTCTCGTGATGCACAAATTCCAACAAGGTATAAATCCTTCTTGCGATGTATAAATTTTGACGAGGCATAAAATCTTCTCGTCGTGCATGATTCTTGACTCGCAATGCATGATTTTCCGCGATGCATGATTTTCGCGATGCATGATTCCACGATGCATGATTCTTCAAGGTACGAATTCCGCGATGTATGACTTCCGCGATACATGATTTCCGCGATGCATGATTTTCAACGAGGCATGGATTCTTCTTGTGATGAATAAATTCTAGCGAGGTATGAAGTCTTCTCGCGATGTATAAATTTCAGCGAGGTATGAAGTCTTCTCGCGATGCATAAATTTTGACGAGGCATGAAATCTTCTCATCGTGCATAATTAATGACTCGCGATGCATGATTTTTGCGATGCATGATTTCGCGATGCATGATTCTGCAGTGTATGAATTCCACGATGCATGATTCTTCAGCAGTATGAATTCCGCGATGCATGAATATTTATATCGCCCCTATGGATATTAACGCCAAGACGATCGGTAAATAATATATCAACTTGATTGAGAATGGTAAAATAATAATTGCATATCTGTCTCTTCTGAGGTAATGTGTTGTCTTGATCGACAATAACCATCATGCTTTGATAACGCAATGCAAATAGCGTCTTCTATAGAAATCGTAAAATCTTTGCTGAAATTCTTGTTTGATTCACCTTTGAATTTGGCCAGACTTTTTTGCAAATTTCACGTTGTTGAGATTGGTTTGAAATAAACAAACACATTCACAGGCATCTTGACACAAACTATATAAATTGCCTCCTGCTTTCAGTAAGATCACTGATTTTAGAGATAGTTTTTCTATTCTTTGAGAACTCTTCATATTCATCCATCGATATAATTCGGCCGACTTCAAAGAAAAACTATAAACCTGCATCCATAGAAAAATTGTTATTTTTAAAACATACTCATCTGTGTCGATTCCTTCAGTTGTTTGCTCCTGGTCTTGATATCTCCGGTTGAGTTCCCCGATTTCCCGACTCTTCATAGATAAGAAAAGATATCTTACGCCAAAACAAATGAAACGTAAGAGGGAAATTTTTTAAAAGAAATGAGAAATCTTTAACAAATAGTATGTTGAAAAAGTCGCTGCCAAGTCATGTCATATCAGGCTTTAGGAGCGCCTTTGAATCTGGCACTTGCTAATGAGTTTCAGAGGCTTTCCGGAATTGTAGGGAAGACCCATACCGAAATTTTGAGGCCATCCTCAAAAATTCTGTCCCAGTTTACTATCTTGCTCATCTCTCCATTCTAACCAAACAGATCGCGGAATTTTTGAGCTATTTTCAAAAATTTTGTCTCAATTGCAGATCTCGAAATGTTTTTAGTCTGGCTTGCTGAAGAGGATATTTCTTCTGAAGAATTTTGAGTCCCTCTCTAAAATTCTTTCCCTGTTCTATTGTAAAGGTGAATAGAAATCTTACGAAAGATATGACCGAGCCCTCGTGGCGCCTACGTATCCTGTTGAGGCAGGAATAAGGTCAAACGTAGTGCCTCTTAAAAGTTAACAAGAATAAAATTTACACAGAAACCGACCGAGGCCGACAAAGGCCGCCTACGTATCTCATTCTTGAGAATTCAGGTCGAATGTAGTTCAGATACAAAGAAATAATTGAAGAGGGGAAAATGGGGTGACCGAAGCCGACATAGGCTGCCTACGTATCTCGTTCTCGAGAATTCAGGTCTGACGTAATTCGTTACAAGAGGGATAAGAATTCAAATTGAACAAATACAAGCAAACAGAACGATTACAAGTAAATAACAGAAAAATGCGAGAATGGAACTTCACGGGTAGTATCTCTTTACAGCATCTGAGTTGATAGGCTTGGGCCATACAGTGCCATCCATCTCGGACAGGACCAAAGCACCTCCAGATAGTACTTTAGGAACCATGTAGGAACCTTTCCAGTTTGGCACAAATTTTCCTTTGTGCTCGTCTTGATGAGGAAAAATGCGCTTGAGAACCAACTGACCAACTTCAAAATTTCTAGCTCTTACTCTTTTGTGAAAAGCGCGAGTTATTTTTTGTCTATACAACTGGCCATGGAAAACGGCGACCATTCTCTTCTCATCAATCAAATCTAGTTGATCCATCCGTTTGGTAACCCGCTTAGCGTTGCTTAACTCAGCTTCTTGGATGATCCTCAATGACAAAGAGTCTTTCTATTTGACTGTCCGAAATCAAGTGGGAGATTCAATTGAAAAGGCCCCTTACTATAGATAGGGTGTTAGCGCTGATCTCGACTTCAACAGGTACGACTGCTTCTGTTCCATATACTAGCAAGTATGGAGTAGCCCCACTCGATGTTCTGACCGTTGTTCGATAACCTAGTAGAGCATATGGAAACATTTCATGCCAACCTCCCTGTTTGTCAATCATCTTCCTCAAAATCTTCTTGATATTCTTGTTGGAGGCCTCTACAGCTCCGTTCATTTGAGGGCGATAAGTAGTGGACCTCCGCTGAATAATCTTAAATTGTTCACATATCTCTTTCATCAAATGACTGTTGAGATTTGCACCGTTATCAGTAATGATGGATTCTGGAAATCCAAATCTTCATATAAGATTATTGCGGACAAAATCGGCTACCACTTTCTTGGTTACCGACTTGTAAGAGGCTGCTTCCACCCACTTGGTGAAATAATCAATGGCAACCAAAATGAATCTGTGTCCATTAGAAAAGGATGGCTCTACAGGATAGATGACATCCATTCCCTAGGCTACAAATGGCCAAGGTGAACTCATAGCATTAAGTTCGTGAGGTGGCACCCGTATCAGATCGCCGTGCACTTGGCTATTGTGGCATTTTTATACGAATTTGCATCAGTCATTCTCCATAGTCATCCAAAAATAACAGGCTCCAAGAACTTTTCTTTCCAAAGTAAGCCCGTTCATGTGTGTGCCGTAAACTCCAGCATGTATTTGTTCAATAATTCTCACAGCTTCCGCAGCATCTACACATCTTAAAAGACCCAAATCTGGAGTCCTCCTATACAGGACTTCTCCATTAAGAAAGAAATTGAGAGCCATACTACGTATCGACTTCTTTTGATTAGATGTAGAGTCTTCTGGATATGTTCCAGACTCTAAGTATCTCTTTATGTCAAAATACCAAGGCAAACCATCAGGTTATGATTCCACGTGTGAACAATGGAGTGGATGTTCCTTCAAATCTATATCCAGAGGGTCAATATAATAAGCGTCCGGATGTTAGATCATCGAAGTGATGGTGGAAAGAGCGTCAGCTAATTCAGTTTGTATTCTGGGAGTATGTCTGAAGTCGATCTTGCAAAACCTTTTACACAGATTTTGCACATATTGCACGTAAGGTACAATCTTTGGGTTCTTCACGACCCATTCTCCTTGAACCTGATGAACCAAAAGGTCTGAATCTCCAATCACCAGTAACTCGTAAACATTCATGGCAATGGCCATTTTCAAACCAAGAATACAAGCTTCGTATTCAGCCATGTTGTTTGTGTAGTTGAATCGTAGTTTAGCTGCCATAGGATAGTGCTGACCAGATTCTGATACGAAGACTGCTCCAACACCTTTACCCTGGTGATTCGCCGCTCCATCAAATAATAATCTCCAACCTGGGTACGCTTCAGAAATATCTTTACCCACAAATGACAATTCTTCTTTGTGAAAATATGTCTTGAGAGGTTCATACTCTTCGTCAATGGGATTTTCCGCAAGATGATCAGCCAAAGCTTGTGCCTTTATTGCCTTCTGAGTCACGTACATGATGTCAAACTCACTCAACAGCATTTGCCATTTGGCTAACTTCCCGGTCGGCATCGCTTTCTGGAAAATATACTTTAATGGATCCATTCACGAGACAAGATACGAAGTATACGATGACAAATAATGTCTCAACTTCTGGGCAAGCCACGTCAAAGTACAGCATGTTCTCTCCAGGAAAGTGTAGCGAGACTCGTACGGAGTAAATTTCTTGCTTATGTAGTAGATAACTCTCTATTTCTTCCCTGTCTCATCGTGTTGACCACGTACACATCCAAAGGCGTTATCTGAAAAAGACAAATATAGCAACAAAGGACTTCCTTCTCGAGGAGGAACCAATACTGGTGGGTTAGAAAAATAGCTTTTGATAGCGTCGAAAGCGGTCAGGCACTCCGTAGTCCACATAGTCGGAGCGTCTTTCTTCAGTAACTTGAAGATAGGCTCACATACCACTGTCGATTGTGCTATAAACCGGCTGATATAGTTTAACCTCCCTAAGAAACTAATCACTTCTTTTCTCGTCTTCGGCGCAGGTAACTCTTGAATTGCCTTAATCTTGGAACGGTCGAGCTCAATACCTCTCCTGCTGACTATAAACCCCAACAACTTCCCAGCTGGGACTCCAAAAGCACATTTGGTGGGATTTAGCTTCAAGTTGTACTGACACAAACGTTCAAAGAATTTTATCAGTTGTGTCAAATGATCCGAACTCTCGCGGGATTTGATTATGACATCGTCCATGTACACTTCAATTTCCTTGTGAATCATGTCATGAAAGATGGTCGTCATGGCTCTCATGTAGGTAGAATCGGCGTTCTTGAGGTCGAACGGCATTACCCTGTAGTGATACACACCCCAAGGTGTGATGAATGCCATTTTTTCTGCGTCTTCTTCATCCATCAAAATTTGGCGATAACCTGCGTAACAGTCCACAAATGACTGCATCTCATGTTTGGCACAGTTGTCAATCAAAAAATGGATATTGGGCAACGGAAAATTATCCTTTGGACTAGCCTTGTTGAGATCTCTGTAATTGACACAAATCCTGATTTTTTCATCTTTCTTGGCGACCGGAACAACATTGGCCAACCAGGTTGGATATTGCGTTACTTCAACCAATCGAGACTCTATCTGCTTGGTGATTTCCTCCTTAATCTTTAAACTCAATTCAGGCTTGAATTTCCGAGTCTTTTGTTTCACCGGTTCGAACCCAGGGTTGATAGGCAGCTTTTGAGATACGACATCGGTACTCAACCCTTGCATGTCAACGACATCCCAAACGAACACATCCCTGTATTCGGCAAGCAGATGAACCACGCTCTCCTTCTGAGTCTCATTCAGGTGGGCGCTGATCTTAACCTCTTTGACACATTCTGAGTCTCCCAAATTCACCGTTTCCGTCTCCTCCAGATTCGGTTTATGTCTATTCTCGAACTGTCGAAATTCTTCTGCAACATAGACTGGTTCCCGACATTCTTTATAGTCGTCAACCTAATCGTCATTTGCCTCATATTGCTCATTTAGCTCATGACATGACATGACATTGGAAGGTTTGTAACTTACGTTACTGAAATCATAAACAGACAAAATTAGAAAAGTAAAATATAACAAGCAATTAAATACACAAATTCAAAATAAGGAGACTTTCATTTAAATTAAACAAAATGCGAACTTGGGTCATGGCACAGGGCCATGCCATTTTTCAAAAATCACAACAAAATTCAAAATCAAGAACAATGCAGAAATGATGGGTCTCGAGCCTCTTCCGGACGACTGCCGATTTTACTATGCATGAAATAATTCCTTTCTACCCAAGAGTCCGGGACATCAGGATTGGCGTGGAAGTCCAATTCTGCAACATCTCCCCTGGTTCCGCATTGCGAATGCCAGTTGGGTTGACCTCCTCCTCGATAACGGTGTTAATCTCCTTGAACAGGTCACAGATTCCTTCCCTATTGTCTTCAGGCTCCACATGCTCCCGGACTGGAAAGATTTCATAGAGAGGCGGGATCGGCTTAGTCAATTCCTTGTCCTTTTTCCTCTTTATCTTCAAATCATCATCTGTGGGGATGTACCCCAAACAATACTTTGATCCTGTAGCAAGGACCAGAACTGGATCGATGATCCCTTGTGCATTCCTTCCTAATCTGAAACCTTGTTCGAATCCGCTCTGCAGCATCACCGTAGCGATCATTCTGTACACGGCCGGCATGGGAGTCTGTGAGGCCAAGCCCTCATTGGTGGCATTTACCAAGTCCACCGTGTAAAATCCGAGCTTTGCGACGTCAGATCCAAGACCGGCATCTGCTTGCTTGAGTGGCCCTTTTCACTATGAATAACCAGTTCTTCATTTTTCCACACCTGTATCATCATTTGGTGGAGAGTGGAGAGGACGGCTCCAGCCATGTAAATGAATGGCTTCCAAAAAGAAGGTTATAGCTAGTGTCGATATCCAACACCTGGAACTTCGCCACGAATTCTGTGGGGCCCATTTGGATGGTCAAGTTCACTGCTCCCAACGTCTCTCTCTGCACACCATCGAATGCCCTCACATTGACTTGGTTTTGCTCCATCTTTCCGAGGTCAAACCTCAGCTGCTTCAGTGTGGACAAGGGACATATGTTCAGGACGGATCCGTCATCTACCAAAACACGGTTGACGATCTTTTCGCGGCATTCCACGGTGATGTGTAGAGATTTGTTGTGGGCCCTCCCATCGGCCGGCAGTTCATCATTGCAGAAACTGATGCGGTGTCCCCGAATGACTTGGTGAATCATAGAAGCTACATTGTCGCTGCTTGTGCCTGAGGGCACGTACGTGTCATCCAGCGATTTCATCAAGGACTGTCTGTGGGACCAGGTTCTCATCAATAAGGCCCATACGGAAATCTGGGCTGGAGTCTTCTCCATGTGCTTGACAATGGAGTAGTCTTTGGGCTGCATTCTCCTCCAGAACTCCTTAGCTTCTGCTTTGCTGATCGTTCTCTTGGCATGATCTTTCTTTTGTCCTCCGAGAGCATGCTCGTCAGAAGTGTAACATCTTCCAGATCTAGTCATGCCTTGAGCCACGGCCATTTCTATAACAAACTTGGGGTTGGCGAGAGTCTTTGCGGGCACCAAGGCAACAGCCTTTGCAAGTGTCAGAATGACAAACACTCCTTTTTCCCTGACGCTCAAAGAAGCGACAGCCTTTTCCAAGTGTTTCTGAACAACAAGAGTAATTCTCTTGGCTTCACGCTCATCTTCGTCAGTTTCTATCATGTTGATAATCCCACCCCCATGATTTGGCAAATGGTTCGTCTTGACGTTTGGCACCGCAGGGTGAAGGGAGACCACTTCCTGGTCAATCAAGTCTTGGATCTTATGCTTGAGATTGATACAATCTTCTGTATCATGTCTAACACTATTGGAATGATAAGAACATCTTTGCTCTAGTCTGTAGAATTTGGAATTGACATCCACGGGCTTTGGCCCCACAGGATAGATGTATCCGACCGCGGATAATCTTTCGAACAATTTAGTTCTACTTTTAGCCAATGCGGTGAAGCTTCTGGAGGAATTCTTCTCAAACCTGGGGCGAGGGGGATCATACCCGCTTTGTTGACGGGGAGGGAATTGTTGGTAATTGCAGGCATTTGGGCGTGGATCTTGGGTTCTGGGGTAGGGCTTTGTTTGGTAGATTGGCATTGGAGCTTGGTAATTTGGATGGGGGCTTTGATTTGCTGAGGTTTGAATTTGATATTCAGGGGAAGGCGCTCGATAACTTGGTTGTACATTAGCACAGCTGGGAGCGACATAATGATAAGGGGGAGGGACTTGATAAGCTTGGGGGTAGTTTGGATATATGGAGGGAAAATTTTGGGGAATTTGGGGCGGATTCTGATACGACAAAATATGGGCATCTGGATAAGGGGGGCAGCATTGTAGTGGCCGGAATGATTTGATTGTGGACGGTAGGATTGATGAGACTTTGATGGAGGGATGGAGCGGCCTTGAGGACGTGGTAAGTTTCTGGGGGCCTTTCTTCCCCTGTGTGAGATAGCGTTAACCTCCTCTCTTTTCTTCTTTACCAATCCGGAAGACCCAGGCGATGCAGACACTCGGGCTATCTTTCCTGACTTCAGGACATCTTCGATAGTCTCACCTACTTTGACTATCTCGGCGAACTTGGCCGATTAATAAGATGACTCTGTCATAATACCCGGGCTTCTGCACCTGCACGAACACTTCTACGATCTCCTTTTCTGTCATTGGAGGCCTCACCCTCGCTGCCTCTTTCCTCCACCTGTACGCGAACTCTCGATAGCTTTCTGTGGGCTTCTGTTCCATGGGGTTGCCCACCCCTCCGAAGGAATCAAACATCGGGATCTTGAACCCTTCAGGTAGGTTCAAGTCTGGGTGGATGCATAGTTCTACATAGCTTAACCCGGCGACGTGTGGAGTACATTGCAATTCTCTCATAGCCCTCTTGATCTCCTCCTTTATGTCTACCTTCGCTTATTCCCTCGCCCTCCACTCTGTTTCTTTCTCCTCATAATGGTCCAACTCGGAGCCGTGCACCTCATGCTCGGCCGGCACATGGACTTGAAAAGTGGTTCTTTTGGGGAGGGGTGGGGCTATGGACAGTCTTGGGACGTTCTGTGCGGTTTGATAGTTTTGTGGATAATTTTGGGGATTGGTATTTTAGGACAAGTGGGAATGCGGTGTTTGGGAATTGAAGGCGGTGAGATTTTGGGTTTGATTTTCGGGTAGTGGGGCTGTTTGAGTATTTTGGGGATGTGGTGGCATTTGTGGAGGATTGTTTGGAAGTGGTGAGGGAGTTTGATAGGAGATTGAGGCTTATTGGGGGTTTTGGGTTGTCATATCTATCCCGGACGGGTTGTGCATGGGTGTCGATGGACGGTGCTGAGTAGGATCCGAGTTGGACGAGGGGAAGTATGTAAGAGCTCTCGCGCCGAGAAAGTTTGGGACAAACCCGGGTGGAGGAGTGTCTTGCCTCCGTTGAATCTCTACCCTCATGTCAGCTATTTGCTGCATCTGCTGTGCAATAAGATCTTT